CAGGCCCTGGGGTAGGTAGGGTACAGTATGTGTTGTGAAAGTCAACATCTGGAGCAAGAGTCAGTGAATACACTAGAGGATAGAACCTGTGCCCCTTCACCAGGACGTGGCTACTTAAAAGTGATGTTGTGTCATTTTGTTATCTCTTGGAAGACTAGTGAACCTGAGAGAGCTGTATATATTAAATGAAGGCCCGCAAACCTCAGCGACCTCTGCTCACAATGTGAGAGACTGATAAAGTCATACAAAAACAGTTACTTCAAGTTCTGCTGCTAAAGGTGGCACTATAAGCTATTGCATCTTTGGGTGAACTTAGTTGTTTAGACTGTAGAAAGTCCTGTGAAAACTTTCATGGCTGTAGTTCCATTTCAAGGAAATTCAAAGTGTCAGAATTACAGGTAAATAAATAAATAGAATAACTCCATAGGTGGAACAAAGAGTGTGTGTCCTGTACAGATAAGTTAAAAAAAACCCAACTAAAGATACAGTGGGAATAATTCTGTTTGACAGTTCATTGTTTTATCCCCCATCTAATATTTAAAAACTATTTATGATTAATCTAAAATGACACAATCATGCTTAGTTGTTCAATCTTAAACAACAAGTATGGATTAATCTTGTGTACTTGTGTGTCATATGGTACACTCGTGCTAAAGGCTGTTTGCAGAGGCCTGGGTTTGAGTTCATCATTTACATCAAGTCATCCATCCATCTCTCCCTTCACTTTCCTGTCATCATATATACCCAAATAAATGTACATTAAATGTTGCCAAAAGTTTTGACAGGAATTTCGAACTACTGGAGATAAAGTAAACTCATATGAGAATCAGAAGATGAAAGAAATACTGCAGCAGGATGTCTCACTCGTCTTTCACTGTTGGAGGTTTATTGGTTTTTAACGTGGAAACCCAAAATGTTTCCATTTTGAAGGAATTTTTCAGTTTATTTCCAGAACTCATATAGTCAGGGGCAACTACTTTCAAGGAAGAATGGCTTCCATTTCCCACGTAGTTGCCATACACTGCCATGAGATTATGGGATGGTAACAGGAGGTTTAATCCCAATTCTGTCCTTTGATGTCTTTTTGCAGTTTTTCAAAATATATATTTTATTGAAAATTACATGGAAGATTAGAGTCGTGTGCGCTTGTTGCGCTGGCAGAGTCAGTGAAAACTGATATAATGGCATTCTAACACTTCTATTATTTCCGAGCATTATCTTTTTTTTCTCTTTAGTCCAGAATCCTTAATGTCCCAAACAAATACTTTCAGAAATGAATAAATCTCCACAAAGGTCAACAGAATGTTGTTTCCAAAATCTATGAGGAGTTTTGGACAAATACAGGTTTGATAAGCAGGATTAAATCAGGCATTACCAGCGCTGATGTCAGTGACTGATATAATCCTCCGATTATCTTTCTTTCTCCTGCTCGCCTCGGATGTCAGGTGGTACCAATTCAACACCCGTTGCCCGGGACAGATTGGTCTGCTGTAGACAAGCGACAGCGTGCCTCAGTATGAGAGCCTGGATGTGCCCACCGATACAGCAGAGAGATCAGGCTGGTTTTTAAAATGCAAAAGAATACGACACCACTCATGTCAGGCCCATGCTTTATTTATTTATTTTTTTTTTTCATCTTGCTCGCTTATAGTATTGATTCAGATTCAATGACTCATCTCACTGCACCAACAGATTTAGTCGATGGGTGTCATAAACAGCTGTCACAAGTTTGGCAGTTTAACACCGAGGTATTATATAGCAACCGCTTCTGCAAGCAGCGAGTCCCACACTGTGTTCAAAATGAGAATGACTGCAGAGGGCCACCTTCTCCTTTCCAAGGCCACAGCCATCTCTCAGCGCCGTCTGCATGTCGTCTCTCAGCCTCAGTCGCTCCCCGCTATGTTGTGGCAGATGTCTCTTGATGACTTGGCAAGATGCTATAACACTGAAGCTACTAAGACGACCTTAGGGTAACACTTTGGAGTGCATTAGCAAAGTTGTTCCCATTCTGAGTGTCAAGAAGCCCAAAAGACGCATCGCCCCTGCCTGTTGTTTCTGTTTCTGAAAACTTTTTGGTTCTCTTTAATCTGCAGAGTTTTTTCGACGGCTGGGATGTCACAAAAAAGAAGGACAAGACCAAAGGGAGGCACGATAGCTTGCTAAGCCGTGAGTATTTGTGTACTGAGCCATGTGTTGAGTTGTGTTTGTGCCGTGGCTTGGGTGTGTTCCACTTTTGTTCCTTACTGTAAGTTACAGCATACCTTACCATTTCTTTTTATATCCACACTGTAAAGTAAATCACCATTTTACAATGCCACTGCCTGTATCCTGTGAGTCAGAGGTGCCCAGTAATTGCTTTTACTCCCAATGGAATGGCTGTTGATTCTTGTTAAATATGTGTGTTAAGGTATGATTAATTAAAATTGATTGTTTAACCGTGTGTTTAATGATGTTTTTGAAATGTTTGCCTCTATAGGAGAAATACTAAATGCCTTACTTATTGTATTTTTCAGAGCCCTTATACAAAAGTGTCAGAAATTACTTTTCATAAAGCTTCTTAATGGAGGAAACTGCAATCTGCAGGAGTCACGACTGCTTTTGCTTTTCCTCCTAATCCTTCTCTGTTATTTTTCAATCGTTTTCAGAATCCGCCTGATCCAGGTAAACCATTGCTTTAGTGGTAGAGTTTAGTTCTATTAAACCAATAGTTTAGGTAAAGGAGGCATCCTGGATATTGTTCATTCCTCCTTGTGAAAGAAAGAGTACACATCGACTCACTGTGAGCACAGCAGCAGCATCTCTATCTCACTATGGCAGATGAGTCAAAATATATTACCAGGCAATGCAAATGTAATCATGGGGAATGGGAAAGTAGTCCAGAAAAATATATGCAGAGCATTTGATCATCAATCGGTCCTAAAACAGTAATTACCACTGTTGTTGTTGAATCAGTTATTAATCTTTAACTGTTTAATATTTGTCCAAATGTCTGTGCCCTACATGGCCAGAGTCCTGCGTATATATAGCAGAGCTACTGAGAGCTTATAATTGTAGGCGGCCTCTCCAGCTTCTCTTCGACTCAGGCTCGGTTGGCTGTTGACTGCTGACGCCCTATATCTATAGTTTATAGCTTCTCTTTGTTGCTCTTTTGTTCTTCTAATATGTGTGTACAGGTGTGTATGCAGGAATGAATTAGGCCATGTATTTGGATGTATGAATATGCTCGCTTGACTGTAACTGTGTGTTTTAAAAATGCTATAGAAATAAAGTTATTAATACCTTTATTATTAGCTAACCGATACCCAACACCAGTGGCTTGTTTGACCCAGCAAAGGTAAATCTGAACCCTGACAGTTTATTAATTGTATAAATCATTGCTCAAAAAGGATGAATGTACAATGAATAACAAGCAAGGAATGCTCAAAATTTAGAACATGATGACGTCAGCTTGCTATGGTGTTACTGTGACATCATAGGGGATCATACTGAAAAAAAGTTTGTTCTACAGCTCTCTCCGTGCCCTTTGATATGGTATATTACCGGATATAGTTTCTTGACATTTCTTTGAAGGTCAGCTTTGACCTTGAGTGCTAACAATGAAGGTCAAGGTCAAATGCTTACCCAGCCTACAGACTCATGCCTCCCAAGGCCTGGTATATTGCTGTGAAGTTTAAAGGTGATCCATAAAAAAATGTGGGTAATATAAAGTTTTCACTGATTTTCACATTTGGTGTGATCTCGACCTTTGACTTGAATTTGGTTTCTACCATCACACAAACTTTGGAAATGACAAAAACTCTGGATGTTAGGCTGCTAGCAAACATGCAAACAGACAGTCAAACGAACCAATAAACACACTCGCTTCCTTCAGGTGGAGAATCAGTACTCCAGTATTTTGGAAATGGGCAGACTGA